ACTCTTTTTTATAAATTTATTTATAAGTGAGAAGTAATGGGCAACATGTCATATCTGATGCAATTAAGTAGTTAGCTAAAAGTCATATTAAAGAAACTAAAAGATATAGAGGGCTAATCTTTAAAGTATCTTACTAAAGATAGTGAGATAAATAAGAGAACACAAAATAATGGCATAATGGTATCGTCAAAAACAAGATGTTATGAAGAATCACAAGAAAACACTCATATTAATGAAAAATTGGACTACTATGGTGTACTAACTAAGATAATTAAGTTAGACTACCATGAGCAATTTAAGGTGGTGTCATTTCATGGTGATTGGGTAGATCCCACCATGGGTAAGGTGTTATGAAGATAATTTAGGCTTTACCCTTGTCAACTTTAACAATTTGATTCACATTGAGAAAGAATTTGCTCATGAGCCATTTGTCTTTTTGTCACAAGTCCTCAATGGCATGTTGTAATCAAAACAAGATCTTAGGATGCTTTTGCAAACTTTGATGAGATGGAAGATGAGAGTTGTGATAAATGTGTTCTTTTTAGTCCTTGATAGTTGGATGCCACTTCTATTTAGGATGGTATTGCAACAACATGTGGTCGGAAAGATGTGTCAGGTAAAATATTAAATAGTCATGATTAATTGTTGTTCTAATTTGATGTTAGTCTACTGATTGCTACATTTGAGTTCATATGAGTAATTTTTCACAAACTTGTCATTATGCATATAGTAATATGAAAGAGTTGTCTTTACTTTTATTAAAAAAGTAGTCTCCTGTGATTTTGTTTAAAGAAAAATATGAGATTCTTCTATATTTGTCTAGCATAGCTTATATAAGTTGTTGTTAATGTCTTTTGTCATTTCAGTGTAATTTTCAGTTTAAAGTTTGTGAGTGCTTCTAGTGGTCTTTCTATCGGTTTATTTTTAACTTAATATTATATTTTTAAGCATATTAATATTTTAATGAAGGATGATGTAGGCTTAATTGACCTTGTCTGTTTCCAAAAAATGGTGAGTTAGTGCCATTTTCTTTGCCTTCTGTTCTTTGCTTAAGCAAAAATTCAAAGATTTTGGATTCTTTGGTTTTCCAAAAAA